GGAAGGAAATGGGAATGGACAAGAGGGGAAAGGAAGAGAAGGGGAAGGGAGAGAGAAGAGAGAAAGAAAAAAGAACAGAACAGAACAGGAAGGGATGGAAAGAGGAATGGACAAGAGGGGAAAGGAAGAGAAGGGGAAGGGAGAGAGAAGAGAGAAAGAAAAAAGAACAGAACAGGAAGGGATGGAAAGAGGAATGGACAAGAGGGGAAAGGAAGAGAAGGGGAAGGGAGAGAGAAGAGAGAAAGAAAAAAGAACAGAACAGGAAAGGAAGGGAAGGGAAGGAAAGGGGACTGGACAAGAGGGGAAGGGAAGGGAAGAGGAGGGAAGGGGAGAAAAGATAAAGAAAAAAGAACAGAACGGGAAGGGAAGGAAAGGGGAATGGACAAGAGGGGAAGAGAAGAGAAACGGAGTGGAGAGAGAAGAGAGAAAAGAAAAAGAACAGAACAGGAAAGGAAGGGAAGGGAAGGAAAGGGGACTGGACAAGAGGGGAAGGGAAGGGAAGAGGAGGGAAGGGGAGAAAAGATAAAGAAAAAAGAACAGAATGGGAAGGGAAGGAAAGGGGAATGGACAAGAGGGGAAGAGAAGAGAAACGGAGTGGAGAGAGAAGAGAGAAAAGAAAAAGAACAGAACAGGAAAGGAAGGGAAGGGTAATGGACAAGAGGGGAAGGGAAGGGGAGAGAGAAGAGAGAAAGAAAAAAGAAAAGAACATGAAAATAAAGGAAAGAAAGCTCAGAGAGCACCAAGGACCCCTCGATCAAAAGGTAGCAATGAAAAGAATGTAAACAGAAGTAAAATAATAAACAATGAAGCAAACAATGAAAAGGAACACAACAAGAATATATCAGTATGATTATCAAGAAGGAAAGACCGATGGGTGGAGAGCAGAAGACAGGGAGGGTGAGGGGGATATGCCATCTATGTACTGTCGAGGTCTAGATGAAATATATACAGATGGAACTAGTAATGTTTAGCCAAAGGAGGAGAAGGCTTAGGGGTGACCTGATCATAACTTCCAATCCTTGAAAGGCATCAATTTGCTCTCCATAGCAGCCTAGGACAGGGTGAGAAGCAATGGGCGGAAGCTCCTCAGATGGAGACCCAATCTGGAATTCCCTGGCAGTGAGAACAATCACTCAACAGAAGAACTTGCTTCTCAGGGTTGTGGGTGCTCCATCACTGGAGGTCTTCATGGAAAGATTGGGACGATCGTTCTCTGGGATGGCATGAAGATGTCTTGGGGCAGGTGGTGGGACTAAGAGACCTCCAAGTCTTCCTTCCAGCCCGAGGATCCTATCATTCTACGGTTCCTCCTGGGGGGAGGATTCACATTGGACTGACTGAGCAATGTTTCCTCCTTTCATTGATCCTAGTAGATTCCAACGAAATTGATTTCCTAGAAGGAGGGTCTTCTCTAGCAGGTTAAATGTAGGTAATGTTGATCTTAAGTAGGAAGCTTCTTTCAAGGCGCCTCTGCAATGCCACTGCTTCCTGGAATGGTTGTAGCATTTCTTTTAGTTTTAAGGAAATGGGTTATGGTGTAATAAAGAAGAAAACACTTCTGACCTTACACTTCCTTTTTTATTGGGCAACTGGCAACTGCCCCTACTTATGAGGAAGGACGGTTAGGTCAAATAAGGAAGCCCTGATTTTAGAAGAATGGAAGGGAATGGGTAGTGTAGGGGTAATAGTAGAGTGGAGTGGAGTAGAGTGGAATGGAATCGAATTGAATCCAATCGAATCAAATTGGAAGGCACCTTGGAGGTCTTCTAGTCCAACCCCCTGCCTAGACAGGAAACCCTATACCATTTCAGACAAATAGTTGTCCAATCTCTTCTTAAAAGCTTCCAGGGTTGGAGCATTCACAACTTCTGGAGGCATGTTGTTCCAGTGGTGAATTCTTCTCACTGTCAGGAAATTTCTCCTTAATTCTAAGTTGCTTCTCTCCTTGATTAGTTTCCACCCATTGCTTCTTGCCCCGTCCTCAGGAGCTTTGGAGAATAGCTTGACTCCCTCTTCTTTAGGGCAGCCCCTCAAATGTTGCAGTACTGCTACCACGTTACCCCCAATCTGCAGAGAGTATAAATCCTTTCTTTCCCTTCCAGTGAGTTAGAACAGAAGAAGCTTCTTAAATGAGAAGTGAAGCGTCTTCGAGATAAATCAAGGAAGTCCAGTTGCCATTTGGGGNAGTGAGTTAAGCTAAGCCTAAGCAGCTGCAACCAAATAAAAGACGAAATGAAATGGAGACTCACGCAGGCGTGCTAAGCTAAGTGGAGTCCAGCCAATCAATGAGCGGCAGGCTGGACTGGCTTAGATTTTTGTGTAGGATAGAACAGAATGATCCAGCGAGCTAGCAGCTAGCAGCTGATGGGCACGGGAACGAGGGAGCTGCGAGAGCCATAATAAAGCATGTTTTTTTAAGAACGGCGCGGGACGTGGGAAAATTTATGAAAAGGCGTCCCTGTCCTGCCAAATGTGGGACGTCTGGTCACCCTATCCATGATGCCTGATGGAAAGCTCCCTATATCCCTGATGGTGAACCTATGGAATGTGTACCACAGGTGGCCCGCAGAGCCCTCTCTGCAGGCACGCAAGCCATTGCCCAGCTCAGCTCCACTGCACATGTGTGCATGCCTCCCACCAGCCAGATGATTTTTGGATCTCTGCTGCGCATGCAGGAGGCACGTGTGCATGTGTGGGGTCACATGGAGTCACATGTGAATGCGCAGGGGGGGAGCACAGGGGGTGCAGCACCCCCACCACTCCCAGGGGGCTTTAGGGAGGCCTGCTAGGCCCAAAACAGGCCTTGGGTGGGTGCGGTGCCTCTCCACATCCCATTTCTGATCCCAGGGGGCTTCAGGGAGGCCTGCTAGGTCCCAAACAGGCCACAGGGTGTGTGCTCCCCTCCCCGTGGCCTGTTTTTGTGTCAAGAGGCTTCAGGGAGGCCTGCTAGGCC